AAAGCATCAGAACCAACAACCCAGCCAGGAATAAGGCTAGTTCCTAGGACACAAGACGCACCTTGAAATCCCAGACCCCACAGCGAGGGAGCCACAGATGTGGCTTTAGGCTTTTCAGTGACCGAACCGCAGTGGCTGATGACACCGCCCACTGAAACAAACAACCACAGTTCTTGGGAAGAAGAACAACGAATCCTAATACTAAGACCAGAAGGAGATTCTCTAAGAATCCTCCAAAAACAGGACGCTCTGTGGATGTGCTATAGGACTCCATCACAAGCAAAACGCCACCCAGATGAGGCTGGGAGAACTGTCACCTTGAATCCAACAGCGAGCCTTGGTGAGTTCACGTTGCATCTGCAGGCATCACTCGGGCACAGAGGAAGGAGTAGGTCAGTCCCTGCAGCTTTATTCAGCAGACATGAGACACGGGGGAGGCATGGCTACTGATCCTGCATGTGTTTCGTGAGATAAAGGAGCTTAACGTGATTCACAGAATAGCTGGAAGCAAGGCAAGAGGAGATAAGAAGGCTTGATGTTAGCTTCTTGCAGAGAAATGTGTGTTTGTAAACATGATCAGAACAACCTTGACTCAGGCCATTTTGCTCACCTAGCTCCTTACACACCTGTGGGCTTAGCCATAGTGTGCTCTGATGTTGGTGAGGGAAGACCAGAGAAAGGATGGAAACATTCTGTCACCTTAGAATAGAATGAATAAATCTGGAAATGAAACTGCCTTGCCTATTCAGTAGAAATCATCTAGAGTGACTTTTTTTTTTTAAGGAACTACTGTGCCTTTTTACATTTGCTCCCCCCAATCTTCAGTGCCTTAAGCACAGCTAGATCCATCATAGATGCAAGACGAAACCTTTCTGAATGAATGAAAAAGTGTTTATTAATCATCTTTTGGAAAGAATTCTGAAGGATACCAGCATAGGCACAAGTGTTTATTTTCTCTCTGGGTATTTATGCAGAAAAGGCCCTCTCTGGTCTTCATTTCAATGGGTGGTGGGTCGTGTGGCCAGAGGATAGTGGCGCAGACAGCTCAGTGGTGGTGGTGGAGGGTGCACCTGGCTACACCTCGAGAGGCCTGGAGAAGTGTCACACTGGCATGAAGCAGAACTTCCTTGGAGAAGAGGGCCTGGGGGGCGAGGCTAAGACATGCTGAGCTGCAGGAACAAATAACCACCCAAAGGCAGTGGCTTTACAGAAAATTTCTTTACCGCTCTCCTCACACTCCAGTGCAGGTCACGAAGCCTGCCTGTCATCTGGACCCCACGACCTCCAAGGCTGCCGTGTGAGGGGAAGACAGAGCTGGAGGATTGCATGGGATGTTCTTCAGGGCCAGCCTGAGAGTGGCATGGGTCACTTCAGACTCCAGCCCGTCGGTCAGACTCACTCACACGGCCCCAACTGCAAAGGAGGCTGGGAAGTGTGGTTTAGCTGTGTGCCTAAGAAGAACGTGGTGGAGAGCGCAGAGCATGGGCTGCCGCAGAGTCAGTGGGGAAAGGCAACAGCAAAGGAGCAGGGCCCAGGGAGCATCTATGTGGCAGCAAGTAAGTGTACACAGCGGCTTCTCTTGGGGTCTCTGTCCTGGGGTGTGCAATAGACACCGTCCTTCCCTGTGTTAAGACACACTCTGTATTATACTTGGCCGAATGGAAGGATAGCAATTTAAGTGAAATAAATCAGTGAGCTGTGGCATCCTGCAATCCATTCTCTGAATCGGATAAGATACACTCTTTTGCGTAGGTCAAGTCCATGACAAACTGGAACCTGAGGAGACTGCGACGACAGGGCGAGCAGCTGGTGTGCACTGTGGGTGCGCATTTCTGCTAAGGCATGGGCTTGAAGTACACAAGGGGCCCCAGGCCGCGTCCTCCGTGCGCCCCCTTCCAAACCAGACGAGGAAGAGGGAACACAGGCTGTTAGGAGTCCCAGTCTCTCCCTCTCCTCCAGAATTAGATCCAGGCCCTCGGGGGAGGAGTGATGGACACGGCGACCTTGTAACTCATTCTGTTCACGTTCAAAGCTGGTGGAAATCCCTCAGACCAAGATTCTGGCAAAGAAACACAGTCCTTGAAGACACTGCCTTTCATTGTTGGGTGGCCGTCACAGGACCGTAGCTATCCCCCCGGGGTCTCCATGGCCATGGTCTGATGCTGTCCCTTAGGCCCTGCCGGGGACACTCTCTGGAGATTTCTGACTAGGGCTCCTTCAGATTTTCCAAATAGACCAGTGAGTACCAGCTCAAGTGTGACACCACAGGTGTGTCTGGTTATCTAAGGGGGGGGTCACAAAGGCTGTGAATCGAAATGTACGTTTACTGAGTTTCCATGAGCATTTTTATGAGTAAGAAGATGTTTCTCGAGGGGGCATTTCATCTCAGAAGCCAGAGCCGCAGGCTTGCCCAGTCTTTCTCTCCGCCCTTCAGTTTCAAGGAGCGGGTCCCTTTTCTCTAAACTGACCAGCATTGCTCTGTCCCTCGTCACTTGCAGGAGGGGCTTTCCTGCTGAACTAGCTATCTGCCCCACACCATGAACGAATGCCATGTTCAAGGGGGTTGAGAAAGGGGTGTCACCAGATCAGACACTGAGCCCCCAAATAGCACAGGCTCCAAATATTGAAATAGAAGCGCCTGGGGAGGCAAGGCAGTTAGAAGGACCAGTGGATGGACAGACTGCTCTTGAAGCAGCATTTCTATAACAGCCAACGTTTTATCTATAGTACTGATCTTCTCTGGAGGGGAGAGCTTGAGGAAATTGAGAGCCAGGTTGAAGCTCCCTGCCCCCCACCCGCCAGAGTCTCTCCCTCACTTCTTGCTCAGGTTTCAATAGGTAAATGGTTGGGACCAATATTTATTCTAATGGCAAGCCATGCTTCCCTGGAGGCTGGTGCACCCTAGAGCTGCCAGTGTGAACCCCCACCAGTGTTGGGAGGGGCAGCAGCTGCCCCCCAGCCTCTCTCCCTGAAAAGGGGCAGAGGGAGAGGAGAGGAATTGCCCTGGGATTGTGTGATGTGTGAGCCAGCAGCCAAGCTGATCAGTCTTGAGTGCTTGTAAAGGGATGTGAGAGCAGCTGCTCTGAGGGAGCAGACGGAACCACGAGAGCACAAGGCCTTTGTAAACTGTAAAGTGCGCACACACAGGTAGGTGCCCTCCTGCTCCTCCTCGTGACAGGCCCTGTCTGCACTGCCTTGGTTCTGCAGCCCCCCCTGTTCCAGCGAACGAGCCCCGTGTGTCTACAGCTGTGTCCACCCGCACACTCAGGACGGCTCCCCAGCTCCCTGCCGTTCGCCCCTGCAGCCTCAGCATGGACGTTCCGGAGCTGAGGGTGTCCGCACACTCGGAACGTTGTGTTTGCTGCCCCTGAGCCAGCAGGGGGCCCCGTGTCCCCGTGAGAATGTGAGACTGCTGGCCGCCACCTGGGGAGGGAGGTTGGACGTGCATAATGACCGTCATTCCAGGGGCCTCTGATCCCCACAGAGAGAGCCACAAAGGAGCGTCCTGGCCATATCCCTCTTCTCGGGGCTACTCTCAGGCCACGTGTGACCACACGCTTCATCTGAGAGAACCAAGGGAGGCACTTCTGTGCACTCGTCTGAGGGCCCGATGGCATCTCATTTATTTTTGTGTGTGACACGGTGTGCAGGGTCCAGTGCCCCGCCTCTGTCCCCGTCCAGGGCACGTCATGGGTTTCCCTAGAAGGTTCTCGTTAGACTCCAGCTGCTGCTCCCAGTTTTCTGTTTGCAGAACAGAGACCAACCAGGGCTTGTTTTCTCAAGAAGAAAGCTCTGAGGAGAGAGAGAGGTCAATGAGAGTGTGGGGACCTGGCCTTCGAGGTCTCAGGCCAATTACCCACAGTGGCGATGGTCCTTGCCCACTTCTGCCATGCCTCTGTGTTTAACCATTTCACGAAGACTTCCAGAACGGGGCCGTACTAGCCCATTACCAAAACAAGCATTCCCTTCATCGCTAGACTGGCTTGTGGTCTTCTAGAAATTCTCCAGGGGTATTTCCTGAATGAAGGTGAGAGACGAGCATCTGGAAACTAAGGGTGTGTTCTGATGTCAGGCTGTGGGCCGCAAATCACCATCAGAGCAAGTTATTTCTCTGGTATACAAACAGTCGTTCGTTTTTTGTAACTTGTTCCAAAAAGAAAAACGTATGTTTTAAAAATGAGCACTTTCAAACCCCTTGAGTGGGGGCTAAGTGCGAGCAGCTGTGGCCGGGGGCCCGTGGTGTGTTCTCTGTCATCCTCTGCTTCTTCCTGAGCGCCTTCCTGAGGGCAGCAGGTCGAGGACAGGTGAAGGGTCAGTTCCAGGCTCCGTTGTGCCCTTTGATCAGCCGCAGATCAAGTTTACGGGAAATTCAGGAAAAAAAATTGACTTGGGTCATGCTTTGTGCCAGCCAGACCAAACAGCGATACCACCAGAATCCCAGAATGCGATGTAATTTTCGTAATTGGGAAGTCGTGCTTCAGACAGTCAAGTTGGAAACAACGACCCCAATGAATCATTTTGCATCAAGTTTTCTAGGAAGAATCATTTTTTGTGATTCCTCAGTGGTCCTAGCAATTATGTCTGTTGAAAGTACTGTGTTTCTTCTTTTTTGCTTTCGGAGGTTTGCAAATTTTGACCAATAGGCATGGATAGTAAGACCATGTTTTACAAGAACTTTTTAAAAAAGTGCGCTGAAACATTTTATCGATGCTCATTTAATGCACTATCACTTTAGGAAGGCGGTTCCAGCTCTGTTTTCTGATATCTGTGGCAACAAATGTGTGGCTACATCTGAAAGAGTATTTGTACTAAAATACATCCTCCGTACTCTTGATTCCTCCCTGACGGAGCAGGCGTTTTGCGCTTGGCGTGTACATGGAGTAACAGTTTGCCCATTCTAGTCCATTGTCTTGAGTACCCGGGAAGCCATTTCCCACCAGGGAAAACAACCTTCCAAAGCCTTCCTCCTGCTCTGCTAACTTACCAGCCTACACCCTCTGTACATCATTTGTCAACGTGATCACAGAGGGTTTGGGGGCTTTAATTTGTGCGTCTAAAAGGATGAACAAAATTAACCATCTCCAAGGACTAAAGCAAGTCCACTCCCTTACTTGGAAAATTACTGAATGTGTAATGTTCACTTTCAGTACATCAGATCTGCAGCCACATTAGTTGTCTCTGTGTCTTTAGATTTTGCAAAAGGGAACTGAAATCCAGCAAGTCGTATTAGGAGCCCGTTCAAAAAATGAACAAAAAAGCAAATGAAAAGGACCCAGAAGGAGGTGGTATACTTTTCACTTTGCGTTTTGTAGGCATAAGTCCCTTCTTTATAATTTGCAATTTTTTCTGAGAGGTGGTGGATTTTCACTTCGGAGGCAAACAATATCATGACAAGACAGCCACAGGAGCCTGCAACAGAGGGAACAAACAGCGTGTCAGACAAATGTTTCCTGATTGCAAGGGACACGGGGGAGGGTCAAGGGGCAAACTAAAAAAGCCTTCTACCACCATCCTCATTTGCACTCTTCTGCAAAAATATATCGTTTCAAATTAGTCGTCATGGACCTGATTCTCCAGCCGATGGGTGGTGGTGCCTGGGCTTTGGCTCTGAGCGGGAAGGCTTGGGCGGGGGCAGGTAGAATCAAGCTGATCTTACAAAGACTGGGAGATGCTCCTCTTTGCGTGATGAGAAGGCTGAACTGCTGGGCACCTTGAAAGCACCATGGTGGAATCAGGCCATGAAGCAGCCACTGCTATGATGTGGCTTCAAGAGAACAAGTTTCTCTGTACTTCACAGCCATGCAGGATAAATGCCAGTCATCAAACTAGGGCTCCCTTCAAAAGGATTACCATGCCTCCCCCTCCTCCAGCTCCCACCTCGCCACAGCTGCCCAGAGGAGTCCCTCAGCCAAGGGAGCCATGGAGAAGGTGTAGAGGCAGAGAGGATCTGTTCTTGTTGTTTGTAACAGAACTCAGGATTTTTTCCTGGGCACATTGCTGCCTAGAATAACGGCTATCTTGTTTTGCTGAAAGTGGCAGGGATGTAGGGGCAGGAAAGTTTCCTTGAAGTATGCACGTATTAGGGGCCTGCCCTTTCTTTTCCCCTTCCTCCTTCCTCTAGCTGAAATATGGATGCGATGGCTGGAGCTCCAGCAGACGTGTTGGACCAGGTGGCCTCAGAAATGGAAGCCACGAACTATGGAAAAACAAGAAAGAAAGAGTCTGGATCCCAGACTCACATGGAGCCACCAGATCAGCCCTGGACTTCAACCTCTAGGTTTTAATATGAGAGAAAGATAAATATTAATGTTGTTTAATCCACTATTATTATTTTTTCCCTATTTATCACTCGTTGGTAGCCTAACCTTAAGCGGTGCTGCTGTGGCTTGGGTGACATCTCTGCAGGACAGGGGCCCTCCAAGCTCAGTGGTGCCTAGAAACTCTGATAGGCCCTGTGCCCCTGAGCGTGGAGAATGGAAATCCCCGGACGAGTGGATGGCACAGGGAGCTGAAGCAGGAGACAAGACGGGCAGGTCTGGAGTGCAGTGGATGGGCTTCCACAGCAGGATTGCACCGCAGACCAGCACAGTGGTGATCCTAGGAGACACTGAGATGGTTTTCTGACTTAGGTCAAACCAATCTGGGTTCAGAACCTGCTGCCTCCACTTACTTTGTAGAATTAGGCGATTTTAGTCTCCAAGTCTCAATTTCCTCATCTATTCCTGGACGATAGAGATGATGTGTGGTTAGCATTTGGCTAACTAGAATTGACACATATAAATGCTTACTAACTGGTAGCTATTCCCCTGGTTTTTATGTCTTCCTTTCTCCTTGCAAGTCCTCACCTTAATCCCTTACCCCTCACCACACCCCAAGAAAACCTGACTACTTCAAGGAGGCACCCCAAAGAATGTATTACAGTGCCTGTTCCACAAACACTTTCCCATTAGGTTTATGATGCCTGTAGGAGGTGTAAGTGCTTTTTGTTCTTCAACTACAGTTAATTCAAATACCCTGGAAGCAGCAACACAGCAGCTTAAGTTCCCATTCGTTAATTCACTCATTCATGTATTTAATTAGACATTACATGCAAAGCACGGGGATTGGGGAGATTTAAACATTAAAGAACATGCATATAGTTTCTGCTTTAATGGAGTCTAACCGGTCAGGGAACATACATAAAATAATTATTAACCAACCCCAGTAAGTATCACAGTGAGGAGGCACAGGTGGCTAAGGTTCATAGGAAGGAGCCGTAGGGAAAGTTAGCTGAGCAAAGGGAGGCTGGAGGTGGGGAGAGCGTTCTAGACACAAGGAGTTACAGTGCACAGGGCACCCCATGCCTTCTGCAGAGGCCATGTTTGGGGGGGTAGATGTCGAGACAGGATCATGGGGGGTGGTGAGCAGAAGGGTGAAGTCACGTTTCTTCTATTAGAATTTCTCCCCATCAGCTGGATCATCATTATAATACACCCCCAAATAATCAAATGACATAATTTTCTTGAAACTTCCCTTCCCACTAGCCTCAGAGCCATAGTTGAGAATTTTCCTTTGTAAAATTTGTCAACCTATTTTTGTATTCTGAGCTTAAAACCAGAGATCTCCCCTGGCAAAATCGTATTATTCCTTTATTGTTACATCCAAGAAAAAGGCTGCAGTGCTGTTTTCTCTTTATCTCTTATTTGAAAATTGTGGAGAAAATGCCATTGCTTTTACCACAGAGCCTTCTTTGTCTGAAGAGCTAGTGAATTTCAGACAGAGGCGAAACACTGTATTTCCTTGGTGCTTGAAATGAAAATTCGAGCTCGGTTTCCTTTTCAAGTTGTTAAATATTTTAAAGGTACTACTTTGTGAAGGAGGCGGCACGTGGTGAGCCTGCGTTTCCAGCTCCTGAAGGGAAAGTCGCTCGGGGTGTCTGAGGACTCACAGCTGTGGCCACAGCTGGTACCACAAGCGTGCATGGTCTGGGAGTTGAGAGGACCGTCTGAGAGTCCACTCTGGGTTCTGGGCTTGACCCTGAGGTCAACTTGGTCATTTCAGAGCAAGAGCATAGAAACCCAGCCTGATCTCTGTCAACCCCTCAGTGACTGCTAAGAGATGTGGAGGGAAACGATTCAGTGTGAATTTAGGCTATTTTTGCTTTTCTCTGTCAATGGCTCTGAGAGAGATGTGGGATCAAGGATAACTATTATGACTTATGGCCCGAAAGAAACACATGAAGAGTTTCTCTTTCTGGCCTGGCTGCTGCGGACGTGGAGAGAGGTGTGTAAGGGATGTGAGCGATCGTGAGAACAGGGCTTGGCATGTTTCCAGTATGACCCTTAGACTCCAACAAGGGGGTCCTGCTAGGGCTCCCACATTTAGAGGGTCCTGCTCTCTCTCTTCTGGAGAGACCCCCCTCCCCACAGGGTGGGAAACCCTTGAAGACAATGGGACGGGCCCATCCGGAGTCCCTGATGCACATTCTAGACCACACTCCTGAAACCCGGGAACTCCCCCCGCAAACAACCTGAGCGCCCTTCCAGGGCTGGCACAGGCCTCTTCCCCGGTCAGTCCTCCCAAGGGCAGACTCTGTGGCTGGTGCCCCGAGGCCTGAGGGTGGCCCAGGAACAACTGTTTCCGGGCGTGGTCAGAGCTCGGATATGCTATGGAGTGTCCCATGCACATGCCAGGGGCCTTTACAGTGTGGGCGGAACCAGGCGTGGGCAGAGACGAGGACAGACAGGGGCCAGCTCTCCTCGCATCACCACGCCCAGGGGCAGAATTCCCAGGGCTCAGGAATTCTGAATTTGAATCTGCCTTCCAGGTCCTTATGGAGAGATGTTCGTCAAGGTGGAAGGCTAGAACACGTCCTGGAAGAGTTTATAACGTTGAGATGCTTAGACAGCTGGTATGTGGGCTGTCATTCATACTCTGCACAAGGCCTCACAAATGTCAGCTTCAGGCCTGCGTGCTGCCCTCTTCCTTTCCCCAGTTATCCATGTACACGAAGAGCCCAAAACAACTCAGCTGGGGCCGTTTGGACAGATCGCCCACATGTCTGTCCCTCTGACCAACACTGCTCCTGCTCACCAGACAGGTTGGAGTCAGCTAGGACTTAGGAAAATCTGCCAAGCCCAGCTCAAGCTGGAGTTTGGAACACAGCCAGGCCTGGGCGCCAGGTTCTGTGGCTCAGGGTCTGACTCAAAGACCAGCCATTTTCCTTTCATGAGTTTGATTTCCCACCATCTGGCTGGTACTATAGTGGGGTTTTTTTTTTCTTTTAATGACTTTGATTACTGAGTTAATTTCTGACTGAATAGGATAGCTGAGTTATGGGGCCGTCACACCATGAATTATCAGTCAATTAACAAACATTTGTAATGCATAGACACTGCACACTCGTGACTCTCCTCTGGCAGCTGTCTGGGACTGCAGAATTGGGCGCCTCTCTCCTCCAGTCCTTATGATGTAGGGAAGGAGCTCACAGCCAACAAGAAGCTGCTTCTTCGTCGTGGGCTGGCTCTGAGGGTGAGCATCCTTTTACGGGTGGGAACGTCTTGCCAGGATCTGTGGAAGTCCAGGCTACCATGAGTTTCCGTAGAAATGTGTCCTCAAAGGGGAAAAAAAAACCCTCTGAAACAGTCTCCTATTATCGTTATGGTTGTATTTTGGGAAATAATAAATTAGAATTTCAATTCCATTTAAAGTAATGGCCAACATTTCCAGAAAGCTAACACCTCATCTTTAAACTCTCTCATAGATGACAAATATGAGAGGCATTCCACTTCCTCTACAGAATGATAAATGGATAATTTCCTTCTTGAAGGAGTCTTGAGAGAGGATAAATGGGGGTGGGAAAGCCACAACTTTGCAGGTGTAGGTGCTAATTTTCTCTGAAATTATGCAATCTCACTAGAAAGTCAGTTATTAAAGGTGAGGTCAACAGCAATGATTTCTTCCTCAAATGGAAGCGATTCTGGCCCCACACTGCTTTAGAGACCAATGGTCCATCTAGAAAGGGGGCCAGGGGAGAAATAAAGCAAGTGAATACCTAAGAGTGGATTCTGAGGTCGTGATGGGGAGCAATTTGGTCGTGGGTTTCCAAAGAGCAGGTGTGGATGAAGGAACACCGCCAGTCATGTTTAGCTTTTTCCCTTCATATTCTGTAAAGGTGAGTTGAGGAGCCCACATCTAACTTAAGTTTTACAAATGTTGTGTTAGTAACAAGGGTGATTTGTGCAAAGAAGAACTGGTCTAAAAACACAATCTTTTTCTAATTTGAATTGATTTTCAGAAAAGAAGAATGCCATTTGTCACCAGGAAACACGCAGAGCTGCTTCTGTTTTACTCATTTGCTCAACAAATGTTTATTGGGTGCTCACTGCACTGTTCTGGGCACAGGGGACACAGCGCTGGACAAATCCTGA